GCTTGGCTCAGAATCCACACCAGTAACCACAGTGCCTTGCCGCCTCTCACTTTGGCTTTCTTTTGCTTCCAACTTCATGGAGGTGTAAAGGGCGTGAAATAAACTGCCCACCTTAAAAGTGTACAGGTTGATTCCTTTTGATAGAATTGTGAAACTGTCAGCAATGGAATGACCAACATTTTCACCTCCCTGAAAGTTCTTCTTGTGTCTTTTTAATTCATCCCTTTTCCATCCACATCCCCAGCCAACCACCTGTTGGCTTCCATTCATTGTAGATTAGCTTGCATTTTCTTTTCTTTTTTTTTTTTATGTTTATTTATTTTTGAGAGAGAGAGAGAGAGAGACCAAGAGCTCATGCTGGGGAGGAGCAGGGTGGGAGGGGGACAGAGAATCCGAAGCAGGATCTGGAGCAGGCTCCATACTGACAGCAGAGAGCCCTATTTGGGGCTGGAATTCGTGAACCGTGAGATCATAAGCTGAGCCAAAGTCAGACTTGCAACCAACTGAGCCACCCAGGCACTGCAATTGGCTTGCGTTTTCTAAACTTTTGTAAAAACAGAATGGAATATATAGGATCTTTTTTTTAAGTTTATTTATTTATTTTGAGAGTGCGCAGGCACACACATGAGCAGGGGAGGGGCTGAGAGAGAGGGAGAATGCCAAGCAGGCTCCACGCGGGCAGCACAATCGGCCGCGGGGCTCAAACTCACGGAATGATCTGTGAGATCATGACCTGAGCCGAAATTGAGAGTCTGCCGCATAATGGACTGAGCCACCCGGGAGCCCCAGTTTTTTACAGATTAAATACCGGATCTAAGTAACGAAATTAATTCCCTCAATATGCTTCATTTAATGGCTAATTGCCTGCTGACAACTTTTTTCCCATTCTTTTCAAATGTCTTCTAAGACATTTATTTAAAATCAAATCAAAACAAAAAAACGGGGCCACATAGCAAATCTCCAGTTCTCTACAAAGTTGGCTCTGCGCCCGGACTGCCGTGAGGTCAGAAGTTTCGTGCATGCGGTCGCCATTTCAGCAGCCTGTGTGCTGGGCCTGCCCATGGGTGAGTGGCTCTAGGGGCAGGTTTGCCGTGCGGGTCGCATCCCGCACCCCGCACCACTGCTGCTCTGTCCCAGCCTCAGCGTGGATCTGTCTCCAGCGTAGTTTGCAGACTGAGGAAAGAGTCAGGGCCGGAGTGGGAACACTCGGAGATCACTTGAACTTTACTTCATGTGAAATTTTGAGGGCGCCCAGGAAATCCCTGCTGATTGTGGATTTTAAGAAAACTGTTTGGGTTTTGGTTCATCAACTGTTGGGTTTATTGGTTCGGACGACTGAGGGAGGGTTATTAAAGGAAACCAGCCAAACTTCAGAGCAGAATCAAATTACACAGGGAGGTTCGAGGCTGTGTTTGGGCTCTGGTCGGTAGGCTGAGCTATCGTGTGCAGCGAGGGGGCACATGACACTGTGTGAAGGCAGTGGGGATGCGGTTCCAGCACGCTGGCGACTCTCGACAGGTCACATGGCCCACACGTCTTTCCTTGAAGAGCCCACCGACCTATTAAGCCCAGTTTACGAAGCCAGCCTAGAAGCTGATGCTGCTTCTGAATACTTTAGACATAGTTGAAGGACTTCTTCAAGTAGATTAAGTAAATCTAATTAGATTTTCATGTGATTTAAAAATGTTTTTTCTCCCAAAACATCTTAAAAGTGCTATTATTCCTTTACCAGGTAAGAGAGAAAGGAAAAAATAAACTGTAACATAACCATGGTTAGAATTTTGGCATGTTTTTTCTTTCTTTCTTTTTTTTTTTTTTTTAACATTTATTTCTTTTTGAGAGAGAGAGACAGAACGCACATGTGAGTTGGGGAGGGACAGAGAGAGGAGACAGCACCTGAAGCAGGCTCCAGCTCAGAGTCCAACATGGGGCTCGGACCCATGAACCGTGAGATCATGACCTGAGCTGAAGTCAGACGCTTAACCGACTGAGCCACCCAGGCGCCCCTCTTCTTTTTTCTTGTAAGATTTTATTTTTTTAAGTAATCTTTACACCCAGCATAGGGCTCGAACCTACGACCCTGTGATCATGAGTCACACACCCCACAAGCTGAGCCAGCCAGGTGCCCTGGGGTGTATTTCCTTTCAGATTTTTTTTTTCTTTTTAAATTCTTTTTTTTTTTTTAATTTTTTAATGTTTATTTATTCTGGGATAGGAAGAGAGAGCATGAGAGCATGTACGCATGTACGAGAAGGGGAGGAAGAGAGAGAGGGGGAGAGAATCCAAGCAGGCTCCGTGCCGTCAGTGCAGAGCCCGTTGTGGGGCTCGATCCCACGAAACTGCGAGCTCATGACATGAGCTGAAATCAAGAGTTGGGACGCTTAACCATCTGAGCCACGCAGGTGCCCCACAATGTTTTTTCATTATGCCTTTTTTTTTTTTTTTCCTTATCAGGCTGTTTTAGGGAATGATGGGTAAATCAGTGTGGAGCAAATAAGTCAGGAGCCTCTGGTTCCATGCGGCATTGCCCCCTTCAGCCCTCTCCTCCTGTATTTGGAAGAGAAGGGGTTAATAAGCGCTAATCATTTGTTGCCTAATTACCAAGTTAATAAGAGGTTCCTGGCTTTTGCTGCACCTTTCCTAGACAATCAAGAACAGAGCTCTGATTCCTTAACCTTTAGCCAGCCAGAATCACACGGAGGACGAGGTCGACCTGTTAAATAAAAGCCAGATGCGGCCCCTCCCCAGAGTTTCCGGTTCAGCAGGTCTGGGCAGGGCCCAGGAGCTTCTGGCAAGTTCTCGGGTAGTGCTGATTCTGCTAGCTGAGGACCACCATGATTTTAATGACCTCTCATCTCTACTGCCCTTACTCTAATCAAGGCTTGCCTCTAGTGGAAATCATAGTTTTAGATATTTTATACTACAGTTTTCATCCCAAGAGTTTCCCCAAGTTTCTGTAGAGTCTTTTATTTTAACTTAAAAAATTATACAAGTAATGCATGTTCATTAAAAATCAGGAAAATGAAAAATAATCTCAAAGAAAAGCTAGTCATAGGTTCTACCAGGGTTATCTTAGTCTGTCGTTCTATTGTCTCAGTAGATAGACACCTGGCCAGCTCAGTCGGTGGAGCGTGTGATTCTTGACCTTGGAGTTGTGAGTTCAAGCCCCACACTGGGGGGTAGAGATTACTTTAAGAAAATAGGTTGATAGTCTGTTTATGGCCATACCTCCCTGGATGTCCTCAGTCTTGTCTGACCTTAGAGGGTGAGTGGGCTTGGACCTGGTTAGCATGAGTGGGCGAGCCCCAAAGCCACATGTGTATGTGTATGTGTATATGCATACTCATACACATATACACACACAAATATATTGCAAAAAAAAGATTTACTACCTGTATTTTTAGCTTTCTTTTTTATTTATTTATTTATTTTTTACATTTATTTATTTTTGAGAGACAGCGTGAGACAGAGCAGAAGCAGGGCAGGGGCAGAGAGAGAAGGAGACACAGAATCTGAAGCAGGCTCCAGGCCTCGAGCAAGTGTGCGGCACAGAGCCTGACACGGGGCTCGAACCCACGAAACGTGAGGTCATGACCTGAGTCAAAGCCAGTCACTTAACCGACTGAGGCACCCAGGCACCCCTTTAGCCTTCTTTTTTAAACCAATATAGTGAGTATTTTTTTTAGGTTGAATACAGATCTAAGTAATTTTAATTGATGCAAAATTTTCCGTTTTGAGTATTAATACCATAATGATTAGCTTTCCAGTGTTGGACTCTTCAGATTCTTGTTCCAGTTTTTTGCTATTAAAAATAATACTGTGTTGACTGTCTTATTGCATATATTTCTCTGTATTTGCTCAGTTATTAGGATTATCCTAACCTATGTGTATAATTCCTGTGTAACAGTTTACACATTTTTAAGAATCTTTGCTTGCTGAGAGATGGAAAAAATGTATTGTAGTTTAAATATGTGTTTGGGGGCGCCTGGGTGGCGCAGTCGGTTGGGCGTCCGACTTCGGCCAGGTCACGATCTCACGGTCCGTGGGTTCGAGCCCCGCGTCAGGCTCTGGGCTGATGGCTCGGAGCCTGGAGCCTGTTTCCGATTCTGTGTCTCCCTCTCTCTCTGCCCCTCCCCCGTTCATGCTCTGTCTCTGTCTGTCCCATAAATAAATAAAAACGTTGAAAAAAAAAATTTAAATTTGTGTTTGTAGTTACTGGTAAGGTTTACTGAGCATTTTTATTTATCTTTGTGAATTAGCACTTCTGTCCATTGCCCGCTTTCCTGTTGGTTGTCCATCCTTTCATGTTTTTTTTTTGAATTACTTATTTATTTTGAGGGGTGGGGGTGACAGACAGAGAGGGAGAGGGATCATCCCAAGCAGGCTCCGCACTGTCAGCACGGAGCCTGACGCGGGGTTTGATCCCACAAAACATGAGATCATGAGATCATGACCTGCAACGAAATCAAGAGTCGGACACTCAACTGACTGAGCCACCCAGGCACCCCCATCTTTTCGTGTTTATTTGTACGATCTTTCTTGGAATGTAAACTCTTTGTGATGTGTTTAAAACATGTTCCCCAACTTATTTGACTTACATCTTTAGTAGTTCACGTCTCCTACTTCCTTCCCTTCGCAAAACAACATTTTTCTGGAGTCAGATGCTGCCCAGAATGCTTAATTGCCATTTTTGATGGCGGCATGATATTTATTTGAGTGGAGGGTACCAGCATTTGCCTTATTTGCTTCATTAGCCTCAAGGTTTAGGGACCCTCCTTTAGTAGGCTTAAGGCTTCAGTGCGCCATCGGTGTGTTGTATTTCAGCCTCTCTCTTTCCCTCCCCAGATGCTAACCCTGAGGTGACCAGGACCATGCTCCGCTGGGTCTACACGGACGAGCTGGAGTTCGGAGACGACGACGTGTTCCTCACTGAGCTAATGAAACTGGCTAATCGCTTTCAGCTGCAGCTCCTCAGGGAGAGGCAAGTCCCGGCTGAGCTGGTCACGCGCCTCCGGTCACCACCTCCGGTGGTGGCGGCGGCTGAGCTTGAATTATGTGCCAAGCTCTGCTAACGTAAATAACTTTTGCAAGGTGTTCCTCTGGAAGCAGTAGTGGGGAGAGGACTTTGCCTCCCTTGCTTTGTGTTCTTGTAAGCGAAATTCTGCCAAAGCTTTAGGTATTCTCTTCCCTTTCACTGATTTTTTTTTTTTAACCTGAGATTACGTAATTGTGTGTATATTACGTAAAGAATGTAAGAGAGATTACGGTGTCCAAATGCTCAGCTTTCCCTCCCGTATCACTTCCTGTGACATTTATTCTACTTTGTAATAATATAGCACCTTGGGTGAAGTTCTTGGTCATGTTCCTTGTGTTAGAAACACGTTAGCGCCTAAGTCGGGGTGTGGGTGGCTGGCTCAGTCTGTTGAGCGTCCAACTTCGGCTCAGGTCACGATCTCGCAGCTTGTGAGTCCGAGCCCCACGTCAGGCTCTGTGCTGCCAGCGCAGAGCCGGCTTCAGATCTCTGTCCCCCTCTTTCTGCCCCTCCCCTGCTCACGTGTGTGTGTGTGTGTGTGTGTGCGCGCGCGCGCGTGCGCGAGCTCTCACTTTCTCTCTCAAAAACAAATAAAAACATTAAAAAAAAAAAAAGAAATACATTAATGCCTAAGTTAATACACAAGTGTACCGTTCAGGCGGTTTCCTAGCCAGTGTTTTTGGGCTCTTCATTTAGGTTCCCAAGGAGGTAGTCTGTGTTTTTTATATTGCATTTTCTCTGCTGCTCTCCCAAGTTGGCCTTCTCGAGCAACGGGAAACAAACGTCACCCCAAGTGATGTCAGGCAAAATGCCCTTTAGTTTTAGTTTCTGTTGGGGATGTGCCCCTTGGTGGTCAGTTTGGCTGGTGGAGTGTCTTTTACACCATTTAGTGAGCTTGTGTATTCTCTTGGGGGTTGCAGGAATGGCTTTTCTCCCGGGTGAGCGAGGCCGTGGTTTTAGCTGACAGCCTGCTGTTTGCCCTGCGGGGCTGGTGCTCTGGGCCCACCTGCCCATGCGAATTGGTACACAGGTTCCTCCTAACCCTGGGTGCCTGAGGGCAGCTTACGTGCATTCTAATGTCTAAGTCCAGTTACTAGAAACCCCAAACAGGTCTGGGCTTTGTAGGCACGTGTGGTGTTAGGTCAGCGAAGCCAGCCTGACCGTGGGGGCCTCGCGAAGAGCTGTTCCGTTTGTCGGCATGTTGCAGCGTCTCAGGGGGACCTGGGAATGGTTTTAACTAGACCAAATGTGTTTTGCATCCTTTTTTTTGTTTTCTAGATCTCCTGAGCTTTTCTCCATTGATCTTGTCAAACTTGCTTGTAAATTAAATTGCTTTGATAAAAATGCCCTGGGGTTGGAGTAGTGTAGACAACTGTAATCAGTGTAATGGATTCTTTAATTAAAATATTTGTTGCTAATTGACTGGTTTAGGCTTCTTTACCATCAGTATTACCAGATGCTCAATTTTGTATTGTTGGATGTGGGCATTGAGTTTTATCTGTCGTGGCTTTGTGGAGGGCTGGGCTGCCAGACTCCGAAGCGTGGGGTCCAGCGTGGGCTCTTAAAAGGTCGCAGAGCGCCCACTGCTGTGCGCAGGGGAAATCACACGTCCCAGGTAGTGCAGGGATTGGGGATGTCGCAAATGTGTGTAGTTCCGTGTGGGGCAGCGGTTGCTTGGTTTTGTAACGTAGGGATCTTGGAGGGTTGGGAATGCTGTCACGCATTTGATGAAAAGGAAGTTTTGGGGGGAAGTGTTATCAGAAAGATACTTTTTTTAAGGAAGAATTCATAGTATATGCCAAAAATTGACAGTTAATATAATCATTGTTTTCCTGACTGAAATACAAGCTCAGTGTGCGTCGTTTGGGAAATACAGAAGTCACCTGTAATTCCACCAGGTAGTGCTTTGTTGTTTCTCCTGTCAGTACGTTTTCCACGTCTCCTATTCGTGCGTGTGGGAGTGGTGCTGAAACTAGACAGGAGTTTGTGAGATGCTGGAATATATGCTTGATTTTGTACTTTAAAAATAGTCTGCTTTTCTGCATCTGTATCCTTTTCTGTGCTGTAAAATGAAAAACACGTATTAACAACCACAAAATTCCTCCGGAGGAAAGTTTGTCTCAGTACTTTTGCAAGAGAAGACATGCATTGAGGATCTGAATTTTTAAGTAAGATAACATGCTCTTCAGCTGTGTAAATCATGTCAGTTACTAGCTCTAGGCCATCCAAATAGTGGCTGGCTTTCTGGAGATCCCAGAGGTAGGCGGAAATGAAGTGTCTGCCAGTTGTAAGGAAACGTCAGTGTCCACGAGACGCATTTGAGTCCCCGATACAAATGTCATTTGGCAGTAGAAATCAGGAGAGTGGGATTTTCAGACTCAGCATTTGTCCGTGAAAGTGCTTTGCAAAGGGCTCTGCAAACGCGCGGGCTCCCTGAGGTTGAGCGTTAGAGCGGCCGTCCGGGGTGCTTGCCGCCGTAAAATCGAGAGGTTCCATACGTGCGCCACAGAGGACTTTGCCCCAGGGGCACTCTGACTTCACAGCCAGGTCAGACCTTGCTGAGGTGCGACGGGCACGGGCAGACACGGCACAGACAGTGGCTAGCGGCTCACAGAGAAGCGTGGTTGCTCATCGCGGTAACTTGTTTAAGTGCCGTGACAGTTGGGCTTACAAAGTGCCCGGGTACCTGGAGGGCGGATGCTTCTTTACACCAAGTCATCGTGTCTCTTGGAAACAAAGGACTCGAGCGCTGGTCTTGGAACGAAACAGGTGCCTGCGTCGACTACTGGATGGAGAAGGACTGCGAGATCGTTCCTCATTCCTTCCTCCTTCCTTCAGTACACAGTGTGTACTGTGTACCGCGTGTGTATGGCGTGTATACTGCGTGTGTACTGTGTGTGCTGCATGTGTATTGGGTGTACTGTATACTGTGTGTACTGTGTGTGGGCTGCGTGTGCTGTGTGTGTACTGTGTACTGTGTATACTACGGGTGCAATGTGTGTGTACTGGGTGTATTCTTTGTGTACTGTGTGTGTACTGGGTGTACTCTGTGTGTGCTGCATGTGTATTGGATGTACTCTGGATGTACTGTGTGTACTGCATGTGTAGCATGTGTGTACTCTGTGTGTACTGCGTATGTACTGTGTGTACTGGGTGTGTACTGGGTGTACTATGGGTGTAGCATGTGTGTACTGTGGGTGTATTCTGGGTGTGCTGTGTGTACCGCGTGTGTACCGTGTGTGTACTGTATACTGTATGTACTGTGTGTGTACCACGTGTGTACGGCGTGTATACTGCGTGTGTACTGTGTGTGCTGCATGTGTATTGGATGTACTCTGGATGTACTGTGTGTACTGCATGTGTAGCATGTGTGTACTCTGTGTGTACTGCATATGTACTGTGAGTACTGGGTGTGTACTGTGTGTACGCTGGGTGTACTCTGGGTGTGCTGTGTGTACCGCGTGTGTACTGTATACTGTGTGTACTGGGTGTGTACTGCATGTATACTGCGTGTGTACTCTGTACTACATATACACTGTGTGTACCACATGTGTACTGCGTGTGTCCTGTGGGTATACTGTGTGTGAACCGCGTGTGTACTGTGTGTATAATATGGGTGTATCGTGTGTATACTGCAGTGTTCTGTGGGTGGACTAAGTTGTACTTGATGAAACTTAGTTGTCTACATACATGATCCATTTGTGTGTGTGTGTGTGTGTGTGTGTGTGTGTGTGTGTGTGTGTGTATTTATTTTTGGGAGAGAGAGAGTGCACGTGCGTGGGGGCGGGAAGGGTAAAGAGAGAGAATCCCAAGCAGGGTCCACACCTGCAGTGTGGAACCTGACCTGGGGCTCAAACTCAAAAACCGTGAGATCGTGACCTGAGCTGAAATCAAGAGCTGGATGCCTAACCCACTGAGCCTCCCAGGTGCCCCTGCGGGATCCATTTGGTAAGTGGGGTTGTAAAAAGCAGCTTTATCGAGGGGCGCCTGGGTGGCTCAGTCGGTTGAGCGTCCAGCTTCGGCTCAGGTCACGATCTCACGGTCCCTGAGTTTGAGCCCTGCATCGGGCTCTGTGCTGACCGCTCGGAGCCTGGAGCCCGCTTCGGATTCTGTCTCTCCCTCTCTCTCTGCCCCTCCCCCCACTCACACTGTCTCTGCCTCTCAAAAATCAGTAAATGTTAAAAAAACTTTTTTTAAAGCAGCTTTATCGCGTGATACTTCACATACCATATAGTTCACCTGTGGGAGGGGGGACTTCCAGGAGATCCTTATCGAGGCCTAGAGCTCATGTCTGTAGCTAATCGATTACTAAGCCTTGCTGGTTGTGTAACGGAGATGTGCTGGTGGGAACTGTGCGCAGGTCCACACAACACAGTTACATACCAAAGGAGCGAATCTGACCCATCGAGTGTGTGATGTTGCAGGTGCCTGTGTATGATCAGTGAGTTCCATGGCATTACTTTCAAGGCAGTTGGGGGGCTGGGGTTGACCATTTAGAGGTTATTTTGATTCTGACCAGAACAGTCAATGTGATACAATGAGATGCTGGTACTTCTAACACACGGTACCTCTGCTGGAACCGATCCATCACTCCTCTGCTTCTCCCTGTACTTCAGGGTTATTGGACACGGCTGGCCAGGACACAGATTGCAGCTTTGGTTGATTAACTTGTGACTCTCTTTGTCCCAATGACACTGTTCATCACTAACATTCTCTCGTAGATGTGAGAAGGGTGTTATGTCTCTGGTGAACGTCAGGAACTGTATTCGCTTCTATCAGACCGCGGAGGAACTGAGTGCCGGCACGCTGATGAACTACTGTGCGGAAATTATCGCCAGCCACTGGGTGGGTGAGAGATGGAGGGCTGTGAGCAAAGCACCTTCGCGGGAAGTCAGAACGTCCGTTGTTGTTGCTGTTGGTCTGTTGGGTCTGTTCTGCTTTTCACTGGCCTTCTGTCCTCAGGACGACCTACGGAAGGAGGACTTCAGCAGCATGAGTGCCCAGTTGTTGTACAAAATGATCAAATCCAAGACTGAGTACCCGTTGCATAAGGCTATCAAAGTAGAGAGAGAGGATGTGGTCTTCCTCTATCTAATTGAAATGGACTCACAGGTACTGTAGCCGCTTTTTCCGTTTTTCCTACCTTTTCTGAAAACCATACGTCGCTTGTTTTTCTCTGAATGTCCCCTGCTCCCTCCGAGCCCTCACCGGCGCACTCTCTGATGTGCACGTGTCTCCCAGGAGTCCCTCCGGCACAGTCTGCGCTTTTTCTGCTACACTCCTCCGAAATCTTCCAGCCTCTGCCCATGCCCACTTGTAGAGCCACGTTCACATGTTGAGGTAGTGGCTGCAGCGGTACCTGACTTCCAGGCACCCACATCCACCTTTGTTTTCTTTTGCTGCTGTAGGGAATTGCCACAAGCTAGTGGTTAACAGTACAGATGTGTTACCCTACAGGTGTTGCAGGTTGGAAGCCCGGTCCAGGCATCGCCTGTCTCAAACCCGGCTGTCGGCAGGAGGCTCTAGGGGAGGGTCCCATTTCTTGATTGTTTGGGGTATTGACAGATTTCACTTCCTGGGGCTCTCTTGACTTCTGGAGGCCACCACATCCCTCCCGTCTCAGAGCCAGGGGCAGCACAGCCAGTCCTCCTGTCACCTCTGTCTCGTCTGCCCTTCCGCTGCCCTCTTTCACTTTTAAGGACACATGGGATCTGACAGGTAGTCCAGGATGTGGTCCCCACTCCAGGGTCCTCAATCTTAGTGACATCTGCAGAGTCGCTTTTGTTGCGGACGGTGATGCAGGTTCCAGGGGTTGGGACGTGGACGTCTCTAGGGGCTGTGACTGTGCGGACTGCACTGCCCAATGAAGAAGTGAAGGTGGCAGTGAGGGGTGCTGGCTCGTGGGTGTCCCGTATCTGCGAGGGGAGTTCCATATGGAGCCGTAGTCTTTGTGAGCACGTTAGCTGTTCCCATCCTCTCTGCCCTCTGCCCTGGCCTTTGTGCTGCTCCCGCACCGTCCTCCTTTCCCTCTTGGCCCTGCGTTGTCTTCCATGGTGTTGTGTCCACTCTGTGACCCCCACTAATTCTGTGCTCCCTGAAAGGCGTGTGCCCTTCAGAGGCCTGGCAGAAGGTGGTCAGTTCAGTGGAATTTGTCGAGCGAACAGTTAACGGCATTAAAATTTGGCATTTATGTGAAAGAAGGTGTGTAAGGGTCCGGTGGGGAGACGTTAAAATCGCTTGTATGGTCTGCCAGCTGGGTGCTGATTTACAACCCTACCTGTGCAGCTCCCTGGGAAGCTGAACGAAGTGGATCATAACGGACACCTCCCCTTGGACCTGGCCCTGTCACGGCGACTGGAGAGCATTGCCGCCACGCTGGTTAGTCACGGAGCCGATGTGGACATGGTGGACAGGAATGGCTGGAGCCTGTTACACAAAGGAATCCAAAGAGGTAGGAAGAAGCATGTCCCCCTGCGAGCGAGTTTACTTTAATCCAAGTAACTCTTGAAGCCTCTGCCCCTGTTGCACACACTCCGAAATGCTGCTTCAGCCTGCTCGTGACGTCGAGTCTGTGGTCGGTGGGGAGGAGAAGCTGCTGCTGCGCCTTGTCTCTCGGGCTCTCCTGGTGTCGGCCCTGCCGCAGAGGACCCTTCCTTGTAGGCACGTGACGTGTTCGCATCTTCAGTGTATCGTTTCTCCAGGGTGGCGTTAGTGGCGCTTGTGTTTGCGGCTGGAAGAGCGGGAAAGCATCAGAACCATACATGTTTAAACATAGTCTTGGATTCGGAGTTTTCACTTGTCCAGCTTAGACTTCTTTCATGGCAAAGGGATAAAGTTTCGTTCCGTCGTAGGAAGGTTAGTTGAAATCGTAGCTATATTTTGCGCCTATTGTTGTTAATAGTGGGAAGAATATGGAAGTGATAGAATGAAGATCAAAACACTTTACTCTTAATTAAATTACAAGAGAAAAAGAATATTAGTCTTTTTTGTTTTATCTTTCCCATGGTGTCATCAATTGTTAAGTCCCAAATGGATCCTGCTTGACTCTCCTTTGCGGTAATCGTTTTTGACAGAATGAGAAGCTGTCTAGGGGCAGAGTTCCCGCCCCTGGAATGAGAGCTTTCAAAAGTGCCAAGTCTTAATTTTGTAGAGGGATAGATGACTTGGCTGAAGTACTTGGCCATGGCTGTTTTTATGTTTACATGCAGACGTCAAAGGCAGGATGTACCAGGGGCACCTGGGGGGCTCAGTCGGTTAAGTGTCTGACTTCAGCTCAGGTCATGATCTCGTGGTTCATGAGTTGTAGCCCCATGCCTGGCTGACAGGCCAGGAGCCTGCTTTGGTTTCTGTATCTCCTCTCTCCGCCCCTCTCCTACTCACACTCTGTCTCTATCCCTCAAAATAAATAAACATTAAAAAAAAAAAAAAAAAAAAAAAAAAAAAAAAAAGACAATGTACTGATTTCCCCACGTCTTAATCCTGTGTATTCACCCTTCCGACTATACAGCCATTTTTATCATTATGCCTTGTTGCTATACTATTATCGTGCTGGTGCACTGTCACTCCTTTATTTACTCTCATTGTTACACTGTCGCCATATATACACTCACTCATTCACAGGTTGCTCCTGGTTGGTGGAGCTAGTTTCTTCAAATACAGTCCTGTAGGCAGCTGTGGCTTTGCTCTTTTTGGGCAAAGGTTTTAACCTAAATCTCCCTCAAAGCCCTGCGTTAGGGCGTCAAGCTTGCTGGCTGATGGAGAGGAAAATGTTGCTCGTGGTCGGGAAGGAACTCTTGGGATTATGTCCGCGTCCAGGGCATATGCGTTTCCCAGGCGCCACCCTGTGCTGTGCAAAGCCGTTAGCACACTGGGTGTGTGTACAGTGGGAAGAGTTCCCACCGCGTGGGGAGTTAGCTTTTCCTGGCGTCTAGTGTCTGAGATGTTTATTTTGGAAACAAATCTACTTCTTACTTAAAAAAAAAAAGTCTCAAGAATTATGTTTCTTAAGGAGTTAAATTCTTACGTGCGACGAGAAAACATCTTTGACGAGTTATTAAATACTTTGGTGATTGCTTAGTTGTGAGAGTTCCCACGAATTGGCAGTGCATTTTCGATGCTTGTTTTCAGGCGACGAACCTTCCACTCTGAGTCGGTCGGTTGCCTGCAAGTCTGTGCAGTGTGGGTGTGAGGGTCTACACTGCTGCCGGCCCTGGGCGGCGGGACGGCGTGGTAGGCGGAGCGCTGACGTCGAGGCTTGGGTGGGCCAGGGTTTCAGTCCTGGCTCGTGAGCTCATTCAGTGCCTTGGACGGGCCACTTGGTCCCCTCTGGGTGTCCTTTCCCTCACGTGCAGGGTGGGAGTCCTTCTGCTTTCCAGTGTTCCCAGCACGCGCGGCACCGTCCTGCCAGGGTGCGCACTGGCGCGCCAGGACCAGCTCCAGTTCCCGAGGGAGAGCTGTCCCTGTCCCTTCTTCAGCTCCAGCTGTCGTCCGTGGACCTTCCCAAGTGGTTGAACTGAGCAACGTAGTTAAATTCAACTGTCAACCTTACTCTAAATTCACTGTCATCTGCCTGAAGAGCTTTGCTGTGTGAGATGGGGGTCTGGTTCCGGACACCCGCTGGAATGTGTGCGGTCAGTTCTGTGAAGAATGAAATGGGCAGCCAGTGTCTGTGGACGAGGCCACAGGAGGCACACGTGTGGCCGGAGGGCGGCTGCCTCCTCCGACGAGCCGGGTCTGGGCCAGAAGGTGAATCCTTGCTGTTGAACATCAGCATTGACCTTCGGAGAGTCAGTGCCGGTCAGCGGGCTTCTGAGTGGGCCCTCCTGTCTCCCTGCCTGTAGTCTGTGCACAGTGGGGCCTCTCCCGGGAGCAGCATGAGGCCGTCCGTGGGAACACTGCAAGCTTCTGGGACCTCCTCCCTGCACGTGGCTCCGTGTGGGTATCCCAAGGGCCTGGGGCCCCCTCCCCGCGCACACGGCTCCAGCCGGGAAGCTGCACTGAAGGAGACACTGATGTGGATTTTAGTTTGGTGTTGGTGTTGTTGGGAGGACGCTCGTGTGGACGTCAGCTCAGTGACTCCTCGTGCGCCGGGCGGTGCAGCCGAGCCAGGTTGTAGGAGTAACTAGCTCGTAAGCACCAAACGGTTTTTACTTTAAATGTTTTTGATGGAAATCTTTCTAAAGTGTTTTAGATGTTTTCTTACCGACAGAAACTGTAAATGGTGCTGTTGGTGTTTGCTACCCCCTCCTTTGTTCTGCTCCTTCGTTGTCCTTTTCCCTCTAGGCTGTGTGCCCAGGGGCTGACTTTCTTTTCATGTAAAACATCACCGATTTTCAATTTCCAATAATTCCTAAATAACTTTGGGGGGGAGCAGGGGTGCATGTATTTATGTGCATATATTTATCTAAGTAAAAAAAAAAATCTCTGGCTCTTATTAATAAATTAATTTAAAAGCTATAATTGTTTTAAGAGGGCTTAACGATATAAAGTTCTGGTGTCTTTTTTATCCATCCCTGTCCAGCTGTTGATCGGCAGTCCAGGACCCTTGTTTCAGGGGGCATGCTTGCCCGGTTTGTATTCCACCGTGTATTGTAAGTTTTGTATCAGCCTGTGGGGTCTTAGCTTTACTGTGCTTCTCTCTTCGTTTGGAATCTGTGCTGAGCTCAAAGGTGTGAAAACGCCACACTTCTCCCCCAGCATCGTGTACATCGGTCTTTTCATTTCAGGTCTCTCTGTCCCAACAGTCCCGAATTTTCTTTCCACTTCCAGAATATAGGTGGCTTTCTCTAGGATATTGTATTCTGTTGTTAATATTTGTATACATTCTGTCTTAGACTGAATCCCTGTGGGGGCTGCTCCCCCTGTCAGAGCCTACCGGAAGCCCACTGTGTATATGTATCTATAAACAGCAAAGTCCGACCCAGTCTCCCCCCCGATATGCAAATTAGTTGCTTTCACACCTCTACCAGTATCCTGTTGTGAAGAAATCTGATTTGTGGTCCTTTTTGTGTGTGACTTTGGTAAAGATTGCACTTTCCTCTAGATGCCAGGAAAAAAAAAAGAAGGGGCTGGTTAGAGAAATCTTAAGTTAACCTGAAGTCATAATTGATGGGAATCAGAGCCAGTCAATTGGTTTTCTTCCCAAACATTTCCCTGGTGCCTGTTTTGTATAAGACAGTGGCAATTGCAAGGATAAATCAGACATGGACCGGTGAGCATATCAGGGGCCTGTGGGGGCCTGACCACCTCCACACCAGCACTCACATTCTTCAGCAGATTGGGCCCTCGGAAGAAGGTACAGAACAGATGAGAGGTGCTGAAAACGAGCTGATTTTGAAATTCCATGTCCGCTGAAGACCAGAGGAAACCCCTACCTGCAGATGAAAAAGAGCTTAGGAACACAGATAACAGACATGAGAGCTTTGCCACTCCAGAAATGCCAACCCCCATGCTAGATGTTGAGACGCAGAAGTACAGTTGAAGTCGATGGATGATGTTGCCGGATATCAAAGAAAACTTCTCGTGAGTGACTTTGTAAGAGAAAATCGTCACGTAGAAGTTGTGATTCAAAGGAGCCCACATCTGCAGCACTAACAGATTCAGGGACAGGTGCACATGTCTGGCTGCAAAGACAAAAACAGGTCAGCTGTGGAAAGAGCACCATCGCCAATGATGTGTATAGTGAAGAAGTTCCATAATGCCTTCCACAGCCTGGTGTCCAACCCAAGACTGTCAGCAGACTCCAGTACTGCAGGCCGTCACGGCACCAGATGAACCTGGGGGGTTGTTGTGCATTTTGGGGATCTTCCAGCTGAAGAAGGATGTGATTTGTACGAAATTCATCCTGTAGACCTTGAGTGGAGACAGAATCTACAGAAAGTACCTCTGAATCCTTGGCATGACTTAGCTAAGTGCTGCGGCACACCCGGAAGTTAGGTCTGGCCTGTCCCGGGAGGGGTTGGCTCATGGGCGCACTGCCTGCAGACCCCAGAAGAAACCACCGCCTCCCACTGCAGCTAGACAGAAGCCTCAGTGCGAGCACAGTGCATTTGTAACTGGGTGATTCCTCTGTTCACAGTTCATTACCTTAGGATGCATTGCTCTTCGTGCCTTATTTTCTTAAGGAATGTTAATTTTATGTATCGGGACTGTTTTTGCACGTTTTAAGATGTAAGTGGAACTAAATCCAAGGTAAATTGAACTTTAAGTAACCTTCTATGACACATTTAATTAATCCCTATCACCTTCCAAGTTAGACAAGTGTGCTTTAACTGGTTTTCCACAAGTATTTTTAACATTAAATTGCCACTTGTCAGATTGCTTGGTTCTGAAGGTCCCCATGTATTTTCAGAATTGTATACCTTTAATATCTTTACGTAAACTTAACTCTTGGCCTTTTGTCAGGATGTCAGAGTAGTTTCTGTTTTTCCTCCCACCGAGCACTGCATAGTCAGAGACAGTAAGCAGTTGGAGCTGTTGAACTTGCTGGATTCTGCAGAAGTTATTCAGACTTCATTTGGGACTTGTACGTTGCTCTAGGCAGACTTCCCTGCCTATAAATTCTCCAAGAATTAAGGTGACAGAGGGGACTTAGGAAGAAGTTTTGTTTTTACAACCGTTTAGGTTACCAAGTGAAGTTCTTATAAATAGCAATTTGTGCAGATTATTTGTCCAGATATTTAGTTGAAAACTTCTTGTTGAGACTGTTATGTGTGTATGTCACAAATTGAGAAGATTTTAAAAATTTGTGTGGTAGCAGTCAGCGAGGTGTGGTCCGACTCTGGACGGGAACCTGTGCGCGAGTACAGCACCCTGGCGGTAAGACTGTGCTCAGGAGATAAGGGAGCGACACGGATCGTGCTGAGGCATCTAGAAACCCTGTCCGAGAGGTGGTGATCAGGAGTGGCCTCTGTGCCTGGAAGCCTGGAGTACTGGGGTGGTGGTGTGAGGTAGGGGGCTGCAGGTGACAGCGGGTCCGCAGGAATTCAAGCAGGTGACTTTGTGATCTTGAAGGTTCTGCGTAGACATGCCCGGTGGTCCCTCTTCTTTGTCTGCGGTTCCTGACTTTCCGAGGAGTGTTGGCCAGAGTAGCTCGCCCTGGCGTTGTCGTGTGTAACCATTTTTTCTGTTGTTTCTTTTCAAGGAGATCTCTTTGCTGCCACCTTCCTCATTAAGAACGGGGCCCTGGTCAATGCCGCCACGTTGGGTGCCCAGGAGACACCGTTGCACCTCGTGGCGTTGTACAGTTCAAAGAAACACTCCGCGGACGTGATGTCCGAGATGGCCCAGATCGCAGAGGCCCTTCTGCAGGCCGGTGCCAACCCCAACATGCAAGACAGCAAGGGCAGGTTAGTGGGGTCATCGGGCTGCTCTTAGCGCTGTTTCCAGAACAGTACGTTATGGCGGCACGTGACGAGCAGACGGGCTCGCTATTTAATCTGGTGTTCGTGGAAGTCCCAGACGTTGGTGTATTAGGCAGATGAGAGGCTTGACAAAGCCCAGAGGCATCTGGGGACATTGTTTCCGTGCTGGGAGCCGAGGTCCATGGATTTGCAGGGGTCACTGGTCCAGCTCCTCCGTGGGCACCCTTTGCTGGCACCTGGGTCAGAACTGGCGGGGGCGCTTGGAGGGGGATACGCCCCATCTCACAGCCGTCCCCAGTGTTTCCGGGAGGTCACATTGTGGGGTTTTCCCCTCTGGTGCATGTATCTGCCTCATGCAGCACGGCACACAGCAGAACAGGAAAACGCGTGTGACGGATCTCACACTCAAGTAACATGGGTCTCGTGAACTCTCAGCATCGTTTGATAACTACTCTGTTTCCCCAGATGACTGCATCCTTTTTTTCTTGTGTTGATTCTTTACGTTGACTTTCCCCAGCCGCGGTGAGTCTGGTGGCCGGGCCTCTGGGACAGGTGCCAGCAGCGGGTCCCCTTCAGGGCACTCGAGGGCTAAAAAGAAGCCGCTTTAATCCGTCCTGGCCTGGGATTCCGGCCTGTTGCTGCTCTGACTGTGCTTGTGGAGAACAGAGTTACAGGAAGAAAGGCATTTCTTTTCAGAATTGTGGAGGCTAGGTGGGGAAAACACGCGTACGTGTGCTAGAAACTGCTGGTGTGAGAACACGGGTAGTGAGTGAGCGTCAGCGTTTAACGGGACAATGTTTTCTGTCTCTTCCTTCTGTCGATTCTTGTCCTTGTGGCTGCTGACTGAATGGTGACAAAGAAACAGAACCATTTTCGTCCTCTGACACTTAGTCGTGATTTTGGAAGGCCGTTTGCCGAGGCGCAAAGGCACGCTGTTGGAGGAATGTGGGGTTCCTGCTGGTGGTGGTCCGGCCTGGGGTTCTCCTGCACGGAGCCCGTTTCTGCGTTGACCCCTCTCCTTTCCCCCCGTAGGACTCCCTTACACCTGTGCATCATGGCGAGGAACGAACTCGTATTCAGTCAGTTGCTGCAGTGCAAACGGTATGCACCAACGGCATCGAGAAGACGGTGGGGGGGG